AAAGGGCCAAGCAGGCAGCACATCAGACAGGCTCACCCTACTTACCTGCCTGGTCATTGGGGGCAAGTACCAGACACTGCAGACAATGGCCCAGCTGGTCATCATCCTCAGGAGGTAGGTCACCATGCCATACTTGCTGCTGTTCCAAAAGGCATCTCCAAACTGTGGATCATACTACAAAGGCAGAAAAGCTCATGAGAGTCAGACAGTGGCTGCAGCTTCCTTGAAGCTCCAAGTTCCTCCCCAAGCCCAGCCACAGGCCAGCCCTTGCAGAGCACTGCACGGAGTGACCTCAGCTCCTCCACACCCTCCGGCCAGGCCCCCAACCCAGCAGTGCCAAGATTCAGCTGCCAAGACTGAGCTCTCACTCAGAGGTCTGCTTGTGCTGCAAGAACGTTTGCCTGCTCATACCTTGATGGCTACAGGGTAAACTGTGGCTCCAATTTCAAAGCTCCCCTTTTTGAACATCATCACAGATGTGTTGTTGATGCAGGTTCCTGTAAGATGCAAGCACAATCTTCTCAACTGCCCTTTACAATTCAGTTCAGAAGACCAAGCTATACACCTAAGGGCAAGGCCATTGGCACCCAGCAACTTCCCCCTAACACTCGCTCCAGACCCTGTTCTCTCTGTGCACAGGATGTGTCCTGAGAACATCATGTATCTGACTTGACACTGTGGGTTCAGTCAGCTCTGGAGGTGCTTTGCATCAGGGAAGGGTGCCAAGGCCCTTGGCTGCGTAAGGATTGGAGGAACAGAGATGCAGTGCTGTCCCAACGGGCCCTCTCACAGCAGCTCCCTGCCTGGCCTTGCTCCACAACTCACCTTCTGGAAAGATAAGAATAGGCAGTTTGCTCTTGTCCTGGACGTGCTCTGTGAGCCTAAAGAGAAGAGTGTCACCAATTAGAACACGGCACAGAAGCAATCCACAGAGCACACAGTCCTCACCCGGCAGTCACTGGGAACTGTCTGGGTGCGCACAACAGTGGCAAAGACTCCCAACACCCACGAGGGAGGCAAGGCAGTGTCCTCATCCATGGGATGTGGGCAGCCCCCTTCCCTTTCCCAGCTTCCGGACCCCCACCTGCATCTAGCAACTGCCACACCTTTTGGCGACGAGGTGACGATCTTTGACCTCAGAGCGTTCAAACCAGACGTGGGGGCAAGCTTTCACCATGGCTCTCTGTATCACACCCATGAGCCCTCCGTGGATCTGACCCACCTGAACAGGGCAAGAAGACACAAGTCACAAGACCTGGGCACACACGAAGGCCAAGGCAGCTCCTACCTTCACTGACAAGTCAAGGTTCATCTTTCTACCCCTGCCCTGGGAAGGCTGAGAGGAGAAGTCCCAGGCTCTGACAGATGTAGCAAGTCCCAAGCGCTTTCCATACTGGAGGAGGTCCAGCTGGGGAAGTGTGTTGCTCTTCCATGGAGAGCAAAGCCCAGAGCTCTACTTGCAAAGCAGTGCCCAGAGACCCCCAGTGCTCCCTCCTTGGTGCAGCTTGCCTGAAAGCCCCGCACAACCCGGCATCTGTGCACAGGGGCTGAGAATGCCCCGTGACACCATGCAGCAAACACCGTTCTGGGTGCTCAAAAGCCTCTTGCTTCCCACTTCTTGTCTCAGCAGGATGCCTGCTGCTCCCGCCACGCACACAGCCAGGCCCCGGCAGGCCGAGCCAGGCTCGGAGCCGTCCTCACCATCGCATAGTATCCGTCACTGGCCAGGATGATCACATCAATGGGAGACGTGTGATTGGCTACACAGATGCCTCCATTTCGGGGTCTGTTTTCTCTAAATGTAGAACAAAGGTACAGATGAGGACAGAGGAACAAGCGTGAGGCCTGCAAGAGGCACAGCATGGTGCGGCCAGTGGGAAGGGATGGCCTGCAGCAGACAGAGTCTCCTTACCGGTCGTGGTAGGTGATGATGGCTGTGAGGGCGCGCACACAGATCCGGTAACACATCAGGTGGACGTGCTTGCTCAGAAACTCCTTACACCTGCAGCCCGGGACAGAGACCATCACCCCCAGTTCTACGATCTCCCCAGGCCGTGAGATTCAGCCGACACTCTACACCTCCCGTGCAGAAACACATCTCGTCCTGAGTTTTGCTGTCAGCTTATGACCACGGATTCCTAACTCATGAGAAACAAACTTTGGCCTTTGCTCTTTTCCGGTATTATTCCTTTCAGAGCCCAGGGCTGCCACAGGCTTAGGCCCTTTGTTTAAAATCACAGGGTGTCTGTCCTCAGAGGCTACAGATGCCTTGTCTGCAGCAGGCAGAACAGACAGGCCTTGCAGAAGAACTCGAGCATTACCAGGTCTCAAACTGCACAGGAGGCTCCCCATCCCCTCTTCCCTCAAAGACAAGCTCACCTTCCATTTGGCAAATATCCCACCACTGTAGTGCCAGTCACCAACAAGCTGATGCCAGTAAACGCCAGGGCTATCCTGCAGAAAGAGGGAACACACGCTAGCAAAAGCAGACCACAGGCCATCCTCACTGAGTAGCCCATCTCATCTGATCGTGTTGGACATGGCCTGTGGGGCTCGGAGAGCAGCTCCCCTTGCTGCAGTGGGAACTTCACCACCTCGGCAGCCACAGGACTCACCTGAGGGGCAGAAGGAAGCAGTAGCGGATGAGCACACCCAGTCCCCAGAGTACAGTGAGGCGCAGGCTGATATACTGGAAGTTGTAGTTGGTCCTGCTGAGCAGGTTCCAGGACTCCAGCTCTTCAGCTGAGAACCTCTTGGTCACTTCATCGTCCATGATGGTCTCGATGCCTTTGCGGCAGAAATAGAAGATATCTGAGAGCTCAAACTCGGGGGTGTCCAGGGCTTTGCCACTGCCACTGCGGCGGATCTCCTTGATCTCCTCTTCCAGCGATGTCGGCTCCTTTGCAATGATACCTGCAACACGCCACAGGCAGCTCTGAGCAAAGCGCAACTCAAAGAAGGCTGAGAGCCAGGACCCCGACTCCCATGCCCTCCGCAGGGCCCCCCTCCTTCTTCCAGTCCAGACAGGCACAAAGCAGTCCCCTCAACTATCTAGAAATGAAGCACTCCCGGGGTGCATCCCTCCCCTTGCTCACAAAACAGACTTCTCCGCAGCTCCCTCCTGTCCACTTAAACGGAAAAAGCACCCCGGCATACCTCAGTTGCTCAGAGACACCACATTTACCCCATTTCCCAAAGAGAATTTTGAATTTCATGGGTCGCCATGCAGGGCAGGATCTTACCATTGACATAGGGCTTGTATAAGGGATGGTTCTTCTCCTTGGCACCACGCTCTATTCTCAGTGTTGCCCACTTCAAGAGACACACATAAGAAGCAAGATCAGACAGGCCTGTAGCTCCACTACTCATTCTACAGTCAACCTTTAGGGAAGAACATAGTTAGGGGGACAAGATGGGGCTAAAGTAGGAGGCTTCCATAGAGAACTGATAGAGAGATAAACACAAATGAACCGAGGTGGAAGCAGAGAGTGGCCTGAGAGGAGCATTTTGCAGCAGAGATTTGCCCACAGTGAGAGGAATGATGCGGAAGCGACGAGCATGGGCACAGTGCAGCCGTGGCAGATGTGCACGTTTTGTGCCTTCCTGCACAGCACAGCCTCAGCGGGAAACGGGAAGAAGAGGGAAGAAGAGTGCTCGGTGATGAGATGGCACAGCGAATTTTTCTGCAGCCTCCGTGTCCTGTAAGCTCCGCTGCACCTGGCATGTGGTTGTCACTGCTTCGGGGTGGCCTGTGTGTCCTGCCAGCGTGGTCCGCCTTGCAGTGCAGGAAGCCAATCATGGGGCTGGCGCTATTTTTCAGCCCTCATTTCTTCCAGGCTCAAAGAAGAGACGGTTTTCAGGCTGCTGCTAAAAACATCAGGCTAATATTGGGATGGAATCCCTCATTCCTCGATTCAGCTATCAGCTGCTGCTGCTTCTCAGCTCACCAGTCAGCCCAGAACAGCAGCAGCGAGCACCCTCAGCTCTCTGGCAGCCGGCTGCCAAATCCCATGCCCAGACTACCTGTTATCCACAGAAATCTCTTGGATAATTCTCGAGGGTATAAGCAAAACGTACAGGCTGGATTTGTGGCCAGTCTTCCTTCCTGCCCTCCAGGTAAGCCTCTCAGCCTCCCACTCTTCTGCATTACAATGGCCTGGGAGAACAAGTTTCTAAAGGACGTCTTGTGCGCAACACGCTTATTGCTCCAGGCTGGCTGCTCCATCAGCCCTTCGTGAAAATGGGAACGCCTGGAATCCTGGTCTCAGACCACGCCAGCATCAGATCAGGAGGAAGCCATGTGGGAATGTTAAGTGCACTCAGAGCGTCCAGCTCGTCTAGCAACCTCCTCTGCCTGCAGGAGGAACTGCAGGATTGCAGAAGATGGTCTAGACACTGCCATCCCAGAAGTAGTCACAAGAGGAGCTCTGACCCAGGAGGAGCGGGGCAGTGCAGAGAGCAGGGGCTCCTCGCAAGACCTGCACATCTCCATCCTGACGAGGGAAGCAGAAACCCCAGACTCCCACCTGAGAAGCAGCCGGCAGGTTTCCCTCACCCCAGCAGAGATGCGCAGCTGCCACCCAGGCCCCAGAGCTCTGGTTGTGTCCCACAGGCTGCCAGACTCGAGCGCTGCTCCTCTGGGCCAGGATCGTAACACTGGCCTCTAGAGCTGGGAAAATCTTCTGGGTAAATATTGCTCCTCAAAAATAGGGGATGTAGGCTTTATCTACTGGGATTTTGGCAAAAATGCTGGTCTCACCAGAGACTTGCTTCAAGGAGAGGTGTTGGCTGTGAGACAGCATATAAAATTAGCCTGCCAAAGGCAGGCAAGGAAACAGCACGACCCCAGCTGGAAAATTCCACTTGGCCTCTCTACGCCAAGAGGGTCAGCGAGGGCTGCTGGTTGTCCTCAGAGGCTGCCAGTCCAGACCTGGCTGCTGGGCTCAGCAGATAAGCAGGCAGCACACCGGGACAGAAGAGCGCTGGGAGCTCTGGGTTCTGGCCACAGACCACTCCAGGCTCACAGTACAAAACGTCCTGCCTCACCTCCTGCTTTTGCTTCATTCAAACATGTCCTGGAGAGGAGCAGCCTGCTAACTACAGCCTTGTCCTTCCCCATCACACTCTACACCCCTTTTGGCTTCTTTCCACATAGAATTCCAACTGCACCCTGCCTTGCCTGGGACACCAACCCAAGCGAGCACCTAGCTCCTCTCAGCACATCTACAGACCCTACTGTACTACCCCACACTTACGGGCCACACTATCCTACTACTTTAAGAATTACTGGATTAATTAGAAGGAAGTAACAGCCCACAAACAGAGGTCTAGGAAACTGCACTTGGCTGAGATGGCCCAAACAGGTCACCTGGCACCAGCACACATCACCAGAAAACCAAATTCGCACCCCAGTCATCTGCAACGCTCTGCTGAGGGGAAAAAGTCTCTCTTCCTAGCACAACCACGCTTGGCAAGACCCCTGTAAACACAGACAAAACTCTGAAAACAGGACTTACCTGAAAAATCTTTAATAAAGTTTTCATGTAAACCTTGCGGATGCCAAAGGAGACTCCAAAAATTGCTGGCACAATGATGAAAACCAGAAGCAGAGTGAAGAGGACAGTTATGGAAATCCCCAAGAGATTAACAACCAGGCTGTCAAAGGGGAGCAGGAGGAACATGGTGAAGGGCCCTGGCAAGGCTGGTGCCCTGCAGCCAGACAGAAGGGCTGCCCGCAGCAAGCAACCGGTCCTCCTGTTATTCAGCAACAGTCCCACACGCGCACCGAGTCCGCAACCTGCTCAGAGACCCCATTCCAAAGTTCACATCCTTTTGGGGCTCTGCGGGAGAGGGAACACAACAGGATCGGGGACAGCAGTTGGGAAAACAAGACAACAGTCTGCCAGGAGCCCAGGCGAGTCCAGACAGTGTGGGCCGAGGAGCTCAAAGACGACAGAACACGCACACAGGTTCCTCCATGGGTGTGCAGGGGGCACTGCAGCAGCACAGCGGCGTGAATCGATATCCTCCCGAGGCGCCGCTGAGCAAGTCCTGCCGCGGGGCAGCTTGTGAGGAAGCTGGCAGCAGAATCCGCTTCTGACTGCTGAGAGCATGCAGAGCCTCTTCACAGGGACAAGGTGGAGTCCATCCCTGAGCCTGCATTGGAGGAGATCGAGGGAGTTGGCACTTGCAGGAGCCTACCGTGCGTGGAGTTATTATTGTTCTTTCCGTGAGCACACAGGCACTAGCGCAGATCCTTGCATGACGCCTGGAACAAGTTTAATTCCAGATGTCCCTGGCACCCACTCACGCTGAAGGGTCGTTACAGACACAAACGAAGCCCGTGTCCCTGGAAAGCTCTTCAGACAGTGAGTTGGCTTCTTGGCAGACGAGGCACTCACATGCCACCAGCGCTAGGGGAGGAAAGAGAAACCGAAGTCAGGCAAGTCATGCAGCTCAGAGAGACGTCAACTCGGAGAGGGCGGCAGGAGGTCAGGGCCAGTGGGCTCCGAAACCTGGAAGGCAGTGCTTGGGCTGAGCTCACATCACTCAGAGCAGCTCCTGAGACACAGCAGACTCGGACTGGCACTCCAGCTACTGCCTGGGACTATCACAGACTTGGGAATCACCCTCTGCTGCCTCTTTTCATACCATCCTCAGATGGTGCAGCCTCTGGAACCACACCTAGAGCACAGAAGGCTGCAATCAGGTCCCAAGTACCGGAAAAGAGCCACTGGAGTGACAGAAAACCCTTCCTCATGACAAAGATCCTATCACGTCCCTCATTCCAGAGGCATCCAGAGCACTGGGCTAGCCAGGTTCCCGCATTCTTGGGAAGGCATCACTTCCTCTGCTCCCCTGCACGCACCTGACCCCAGTCACACGGCGCAGCTTCACAACAGCTCAGCACAGGAAGCCAGCCCCAGGGCAGAATGATCACTGATGATTAGCCCAAGTGGAACTTGCCTGGGCACAGGATCAGTCAAAGGTTAAACACCCAGTACTGCAGCCCTCCCGGGGGAGGACAGCCTCTGCAGCAGGGATGACCTGTGCTAGCGAAAAGGGACCAGGCTGCTTGGGGGAGAGCTTGGAGGCCTTCCTCTGGCTACGGAATATCAACCTGAGGACTGGGATTGACAGGTACCCAACAAGCACGTAAGAGCAGATGACAGGCCGGGAA